CGTAGGACGTAGTGTAGTAAGTACGTTACTAAAACACACACACACACACATATATATATATATATATATATATATATATATATACATTGGTATTGTCGGAAGCCGCGCTATTGTGATTCGCACGCGCGCAATCATGAATGAAGAACTCTGTGTTGGACAATTTAAGCATAAGACTTTGCATGTTTACACGTATGCTGGCTGTCCTAGCGGAAAAATTGTCAACCGATTTGGCTAGGGACACAGAGGCACTTTTGTTGATAACCAAGGGCAAGACGAGAAGTGTGGTTGAACTCTGTCATCAAGCTAGGGTAAGGCATGTGAATTCTTGAGCTAATAATAAACAATAGTTAGATTTAATGTTTCATAAAGTTCATTAGGTGTGCTAGGAAAGACGTGGTTATCAAATGTAAGGTAAGCCATTTTCGCTAGCCATGTTGAAATGTACATACATTTTCAAATAGAATCCATGATTAAGTTTCATTATCTTACACATACGTATTAACATAATTTACTTCATGATGTGCTTCTACGATTCGTATGCCTCTAGATGAGTCACTGTAAAAACTCTTTTCATCGGATAAAATTATTTCCCCAGGTGTCAATTTTTTCCCCTATTGGAATTTTGACAACTATTCCTGCTAAGCGATTATTTTGCTTATTGAAATGCAGTGATGACTGAGTTGTGGATGGTGTTTTGTCTGCGTGTTTGATCAGAAATGACGTCATATTTTGTTGGTGTGACCTGCTTTGACACATCTTGAAGTTGAACTAAGTAGTAAGTAAATGTGTGTTTTATAGCTATGTTTCGAACGATGTTTTGTTGTTGTTGTTGCAACAGGACAAAAATTATAGAATTACTTTTGATTCTTCATACTTTTGTTTAACTTTCAGTCTAAAATTAATTAATTTATGAATATTCAGAAAAGTAACTCCTACCACTGGAGATAGACAGTACTAAAAACGATTTCTGAAACTTTCCATATTTTAAAGTAAATCTGAACATTTCTACACAAGGTTACGGTTTATACCATTTCGTTACTATGTACACGACTCAAGTCACCCACGAATGACAAGGTGAATTAATCTATCATTGTCTGCTATCTGTACAATTGAGTGACTCCAAACTGATTTCACAGTACAGTTGTTAAGTGATCGAGTGAGGTCACAAGGACTCCAAACTGACTCGACAGTGTAGCTGTTAAGTGACTAGTTGAGGTCACAATGACTCATTTGACTTGACAGTGTAGTTGTTAAGTGATCAAGTAAGGTCACAAAGATTTCAAACTGACTTGACAGTACAGTTATTAAGTGATCGAGTGAGGTCAAAACGACTCCAAACTGACTTGACAGTATAGCTGTTAAGTGGTTTAATGAGGTATCAAGGACTCGAAACTGACTTGACAGTACAGTTGTTAAGTGATCGAGTGAGGTCGCAATGACTTTAAACGGATTTAGAAAAATCAAACAGTGTACTTGTTCGAAGAAAAATTTTACTTTTCAAGTATTCTTTAAACCTTCAATTTTCTCCACCCCCACACCCCCGAAGAGCGTCAAAAATTTTAAGTTGAAATTAATGAAAACGTTCGGCTTCTTGACGTCTTTTATTTGGTGATGGCTGGTTTCACTGCACAGTTAATGTAAAAAAATCGACTTGACCTACTTTATACTTATTCTTGAAACCAACTTTTTAGATCTTATTTTATCGAAATCGATCTCGTAGTGCGTACTTTACTTGATAGATGCTGGGAACCTTTCTTGATGATACAGACTGTCGCTGATCCCTTATGCTTGGTATTACACGATTCGTTCACCAGGTCTTTGTGTGTGTCATGTTACTCGTAACTTACTAAAGTCTTCAACTACTGATGCCACACGATGGCGTTAATGCAATAAACCCCAAACTCTTGTAATATCCGTTAAACCCAATCTAACCCTGTTTGATAAATATCTTTTAATTTAAGTTCGAAATTTCCTACGGGGGTGGGCAATTGACAACAGGAGGAACTTTCGAATTTTTGCTGTGAAAATTTGTTTCGAAACTATAGTAGAGCTAAATAATATCTTAACTCGGTGTACCTTTGGACCAAAATATTTTTACATAGACACGATGGAAAACTTTTATTTCCAATGCTTTGGAAAGCGGAAACACGAGTTATTATGGATACAAGTCCTCTCTCTAGAGTATACTTCTTTTAAATATTAATTTTGGATTTAACAATTATGAACTATACAGTAAACACGTTATGAAACAATTACTTGCTGATTTTAATATATCCAACGTTATTGGGCGTTACATTATTATCAATACTCACCAACATGAAAACAAATTACGGAACCGAGCATTGTGACGTCACACACGAATAGATACGTCTCCAAAACTATAGGATTTTGTCTTAGCCATTTTTTTCCATGTGGCACGGTATAATACTTTCTGACGAAGGGCTTCTGCCAGAAACGTTGCAAGTAATAATAAAAAAGTTTTTATAGACATGTATTTTAACGTTTTTGAACATTTTTTTCCCTAATTTTTCCACGTCTCGCAGTCTTTTCTACAGTTTTTTTTTGTTTACCAAAACTATACACGCTAGCAATTCATCGCCACCAGAAGTCGCTAAAGTAACAGAATGTGAGTTTAAAATACCAGTTAATCACACAAGTTCACAGAATAACGGAGTCAAGTGCATAAAATTTCGAAGAAGAAACGTAAGTGTAGTGAAAATGTAGTTTTAAGTTAGTTTATTAATCACTTCCTGGTTCTAGTTGGAAAAAACAAAACAAACGACAATTTAGGAATACAGCGCCTGTATCTCTCTTTTGGTTTATTAAAACTGGATTTTTACCATAGCTTTTAGGACATGAACATAGACGCCATAGTTGGACCAACTTAATGTCTGTTTATTTAATATGTACTGGGTATTATAATAGTTAATAAACTCACCGTCAGAGGACCTTAGTTTGAGAAAGTGATTAGATTTTTCCAGTGACAGTTTTCGCAATCTCGGTAAATAATTTCCATTTAGTCAAAATGGTGTGTGTGTGTGTGTGTGTTAGAATTGTAATATTACAATCAGAGGCCTCGGGTGTAACGTAAAATTTATAAAAGTCATTTATTGTACTTATGATTGTTCTTGGGAAATTTTTCCTTTAGTTTTTCTTTCTTTTAATGAATATGTGGTATTGATTTATTGTAGCAAATATCTGCGTTCGTAATTTAGGGACTTCAGTGCCGGATTTAGGCATAAGCTAAACAAGTTACAGCTTAGGGCCTCACAATCCGCAGGGGCCTCACAAAATTTCAGTATTTTTTTTGCTTTTAAAATTTTATTTTTCACTTTAAATACCTTGCCATTAAATAATTAAAAGGCATATATATGTTTTAAATTTTTTTGTGGGGCAGAAACCTCCACGTATTGTTCATGCAGTAAGTGAGAATTAGAAAAAATATGATACTTTCTATAGACCTGCAGGAAGCAGAATTATGGGGCTATAGGGCAAAAGATTAGTAAAAAAAATTTTTTGAGTCAAATCTAAAAAAAAATACCCAGGTGCACACCCTCAGGATCCCCTTAGTATGCATGAAAAGTTTCAGGTCTCTAAATTCTTTCCTCTTGGAGCTATGATGGTCACACACACAGAGACAGGCTCTTTTATAATTATAGAAAAAAATATTCTATAATCTAACCTTAACTAACACAAAAAGTTTCCTATTTTTACATTTTAGTTACTTTACTTCTAATGATAAATAAAGAATAAATATGAAAGACAAGGAAAAAAAGTACTTATCTGGGTCTTCTGTTTTTGCTGTTGACTGTCAATGACACTTAACCCTACTTTTTTATACTAATGGTAGTACTGCACTAAATAAATTTTTATTGTATTAAATAATGCATCAAAATCAAAGAACACAAAACAATAATGTGCAAAAAAACAGACAAAGTCCCATAAGTATCAAAATTTTGCTGGCTTTCTAACTGTGCTACAAGAGGCATTAAAACTTCACCTAAGCTTATCAATGTGTTTCCAGTGGGAATCAAGCTTGAACTGAAAGCGAAATTGACAATTCTCTTTACATAAAACAATGTAATATGTCATTTGATAGATGAAAACCTTGGCTTTCTCTTGGTTATAAACAATATAGTATTGAATGGAAGAGAAAACTATTGGCAATTTCTGAAAGTGACGAAGTGACTGGTGGGTATGGCAAAAGGGGTCTGGTTGTCTATTTCATGGTTTGTTTGTTTCTTTGTAGTTAAGCACAAAGCTACACAATGGGCTATCAATGCTCTGCCCACCAAGGGTATCGAAACCCAGTTTCTAGCACTGTAAGTCCGCAGACATACTGCTGTGCCACTGGGGGGCCTATTTCATGGCTCTGTAACCAAATAAGATTGAAGGCTATTAAAATTATGCTTTGCCTGAGCAATGATGATATTATAAGTAACTTAGATTAAATTTTGTACTTCTTGGAGAGGTGGTAAATAAATTAGAGAAGAGAGTATGCCTAGAGAGCAAATGTCACAATTCTCACACTAAGGGAAATTCCAGAATGTTCTGTCTAATATTTATTGTAAAATTAAGAAATTAAAACTTAAATACTATTAAAATATGGATTATTAGCTACATTTTTATGCTACACTTATTGGTATACCATGAAAAAAAAAGTAATTTAATTAAATTTTGTATGTAACTCACTAAAACCTTCTGACATGTCCAGAAAAAGATGTTTGTAGAGATAAGGTTAATATTATAAACAAAAATTGTATGACATTTCATAAATTAAAGAAAACTATGAAAGTCAAAATACAAATTTGTAACTATTTTTAGAAAATGTGTACAAAAAGCTACTAAAACATTCAAAATGGTATAGGAAATGCCACTAAACAAGACAAAGTAATCAAGACTTAAGTACAGTGCCGGATTTAGACTTGGTGAGGCTCTAAATTATATAAAGTTTGGAGGCCCCTTGGTAAAAAGGTACACCAGAAAGGTGCGTACCAAAACAGGACCTTGGGTTGAAAATACTGTTTTTCAACACAAACATGGGAAGAAAAATACAAATCTGTGAATTAAAAAAAGATGAATTGAACTAACTGTGGCAAATAACAATGATCAGCGGGAAGGAAAATATGAATCAGAGAACTTGGAGAATGAAAAGAATTCAAATAAAAACAGGAATTTAAAAAAACGAATCTGAGAAGCCAAATTAAAACTATTTGCTTTTAAAAAAGTTGAATTAAGTTTGGAAAATGGCATCAGACAAATCATTTTAAGAACTGGGGTAGCTATAGAAGTACACAACCTTTTATTTCATTACAGGTCCGTCCAGCCATCTCAGTAGCTACCCAAACTGCTGTCTCCACCTCAGTAGCATCACACTCACATGGTCCACTTCAGCGCCCTCAGGTGAGTTTCTGGTGAATCTGAACTAGAAACTGGAACAAATTTTCTTAATAAATACTAAAAAGTTTTTCACTGATTAAGCATACTGTCTTTTGTAGTTGTGATTGTCTAATATCTCATTGCAGATAATTTAGTTTGTAGAGGTATTATATTTAAACATGCCCATTGTGATCCAAAATATGTTTTGAATGCTGCCTACTGTGTGATTGATGGCAGTTGGTTAAATGTACTTGCATGTTTTAATTGTCAAAAACCTATACGTTTTATTTATTCTTTAATTTTGTTCTCAAACTGAAATGTATAATTATGCTCTGAGGTTGTCTTGTTTTTTTCCAGGTGAAGCAACGTCCACGGACCCAGGTTAATCGTCAGCCTTCTACTGGCGGAACTGTAACTCAGACTCCTGTGCCTACTCAAACGGCTAACACACAAACACAGACGCAACCCACACAGCACCAGAAGGCTGATGCGGCAAATCAGACCAAGCCGACCTCTGAAGTACGTGCTCCGGCGAGTACACAGAATAAGTCTACAGCAACAGAAACTAAGCAACAAGCAGCACAAGTCAGGCCAAACCATATTTCTGTTGTACCCATAACAACTGCCCCCAAAACTGCCACTACAGCCACTAACACTGTTTCAACAGCAACAAGCATGTCTGTTATACCAACTAAGGAAAAAAAAGAAGAGACCAAAATGGATACCAAACAAGAAACAACAGCGCCATTGCCAGTACCTGCAACTAATGGAAATCATGAAACCCCACCCCCAGAAAAGAAAGAGGAAAGTGTTAAGAACAAGATTCAAGAACCACCACCTCCACCTCCAGAACCTATGAAAGAAAAGCAGCTTCAAAAGGCAATTGTAAAACCACATGTTTTAACTCATGTAATTGAAGGATATGTTATCCAGGAAGGACCAGATCCGTTCCCAGTAAGTAACTCAAATTTTCCAAAGTAATATCATATACTGTCTTTAATAACTGCCTCTATATGAGAATCAAAAATTACTATGACTTTGAAGCATGAAAAAAATACATTGTTTATTTTTTTAACTGTTTTTTGTGTTTTTCATGGAATTAAGTTTGTATAAAAGAAAGCAAAGGCCCGGCATGGCCAGGTGGTTAGGGCGCTCAACTCGTAATCT